AGTACTCTATTCTTAATATTTTATTTATATTCGTGATGTATAAATTATATTAACCTCACAAATTAATCTACCTTAATTGTTCCGCCATTACAACATAAAACAAAGATCGTGTCATAATGCATTAATACAGCTTAAACTGAAAATAACAGAGAAAAATAACACATAAAAATAACACTGTGCCCTATCATATTGAATTACTTCCCAAGGACACTATCTCATTGTAGCTAGCAATTATAATCTTTCACTTTACCCACTTCACTGCATATAACACATCTTTTATATCAATTCATCTGATTTGTTGGTGACAAAGCCCAGTTAATAATGTGAGATATAACATAGAAGGAAAATATCACTTTACGTTATCAATCTGAAAGGTACGTAGGCACTGAATATAGCACTTTACTACTTTATCCACTGCTTTGATTTTAGGTAAAAACAATTCAGATTAAGTTGTGTTACTTTGGACACTACAAAACATCATTAACTGAATGTAATTTTTATAGCCCACAGACCTATTCTTAACATAATCACGGTTTTTATTCTAAATCTGGTTGAAAATGATTAATTTGGCACCATACAAATATGAGAGATAATCTTCTACACATTACCTCAGCTCCCATTTTGACCTAAGGTTCTAATCAGAGATCTAAGTAAAATAGTACACATTTCAATCTTTACCACGCCTTCTAATCTAATTTACGTAAACTGTGTTTTGCAGCATAGTCACCTGTGTGACCTTCACTTCAAGCATTAACTTCGGTTCCATCCCTCTCTCCCTGAGCCATCTAACTGAAGGCTCAATTAAGAAAAAGGAATTAGCCATAACCTCTTTGCTTGACATCAAGCAAATCAGGACCCAGTTTATTTTATCTGAAATTTTCTTAGAATGTTTATTCATGTAAGGGTCTTTGAGACTATTTATGACTTCTCTTAATCTGTTATTTTAAGTATTTACAAATTCATTGTATCATTTCCTTGTATATACTTAAAACATCAGCACCCAAGAGTTATAATCTATACATCCTTGAATTTTGATAGTATTAATCCTTCTACATCATTCTGAACATTTTACATGTTTTTTTGTTTGGCTGTTTTTTGTTTTTGTTTTTTTTTAGTCTATCAATGTTTTATTTTCTACCCTACTTTATTATCTTTGTCTCTGGGCCTCCATAACCCAGAAATTTTGTCCTTTTGTGGAAGATGGGTCATAGAACAAATCTACCCATTCTTGCACAGAAGGCAACATATTTTTAAGAAAATTTGCAAAGTTATAAAATAAGCACTACGATGGAATACTATGTATAGTAGATAAGAGTAAAATACAGTTATGTGCAATGATATGAAAAGACGTTGAAGACACAGTACTAAGTGAAAAAAAAGCAAGTTGTAAAACAAAATGTATCATTTCCATCTGTATGTAAAAATAATATATGTATATATGTAATACATACATTCATTTATATATGTGTATAGAGAGAAATTTTTCTGGAATCAGACCTAAAAAAATATTCTCCACAGTTATGACTCTGTCGCATGGGAAAGAATAGAGGGAGAAAAGGAAAACTAGCTTTCATTTCATTTTCTTTTCATTTTCTCTGTCCCATATTGTTTAAACTTTTCAACCAGGCTTTTGTAAAAAACACATTTTATCAAAAGCCTTAAAATGTAATCCAGAAATTACACTTTTTGGAACTTATCCTCAGAAAATAACTATAGGCTTTAAATTACCCTAGGTAATAAGATACTAAAGTCCTATTAACAATAGTGAAAATAGGAAAAATATAAATATCAATAATTGGGTAATGATTAAATTATATGAAAACCACAAAACGGGATAACACACAGACATGAAACATATTTGTAAAGATTACATAATGACATAAAAATGCTTATGGTATAACAATAATAAAAATCAAGATAAAACATTTTATAAAAAATATGACAACGTAAGTTTGTAAACCCAAAGTTTAGAAACTGACCAAATGTTGAAAGTAATTCCTGTGTGTGTGCTAAATCTATGGGTCATTTTTTAAAATCTGCTCTTCTCCATTTTCTAACTATTATTTCATAAGCTATTAATAAAAAATAAACACTAACAGAGAGTCTTAGTACCTGTGTTAAAGCCTAAGAAAGATTAAAAAAGTCACAAACCTTGCCATCTAGTGTTGAACCTGCCTTAATAAAAAGATAACAGGGGCGCCTGGGTGGCTCAGTCGGTTAAGTGGCCGACTTCGGCTCAGGTCATGATCTCGCGGTCCGGAGTTCAAGCCCCGTGTCGGGCTCTGTGCTGACAGCTCAGAGCCTGGAGCTTGTTTCAGATTCTGTGTCTCCCTCTCTCTGACCCTCCCCTGTTCATGCTCTGTCTCTCCCTGTCTCAGAAATAAATAAAACGTTACAAAGAGTTTATAAAAAAAATAAATAAAAATAAAAAGATAATAAAATGCTTTAGAATTATAGATGTTATCAAATCAAGAGTACACACTTCTCATAATATTTAAGAAAAATATTTAAGATAAATCTACACACTTTTTATTTCACACATTGGAAAAAAATAAACCACCTCACTTTCTTCCAAGTGGCATAATCCTAGACTAGTGTTTCTGCTATTCCATCCATCACCTAAATACAGCCTGCATTATATGCATCTTACTTTTCAAAAAGATGTCTATGTACACAAGTCCAGGCAAACAATCTATTTGTCTGAAATGGAGGTAAAAGAAGTAATAATAGCATCAATGTTACTAATGAACTTTAACATCTTTACCTTTTTTGAGCAGCAGCTTGTCAAATCGTACAAATTTCCTAGATTATACATCGTATGCTCCAGAAATGAGCAATGAAATCCAAGATTGAAGACTTGAATTATTTTATAAAAGGGTTTCAAATTATTTTAACAAGAATCTTAACTCTTATATGAAAAAATCCTTTTGAAAATCTCAGGGGTCTGTGTTATAATCCCAGGGCAGAAGATGGCAACCTTTTTCTATTTAGGGCCAGACAGTGAATTCTTAGGGCTTTGTGGGCTATATGGTCTCTGCAGCAATGATTTAACTCTGCCCTTGCAATGCAAAAGCAGCGTTAATAACAAACAAATGAGCATGGCTCTGTCGCAGTAAAACTTTATTTTCTGACCCTGAAGTTTGAATTGAATTGAATTTTTATGTCACTACATATTAATATCCTTTTGATTTTTTCCAACCATTTAAAAATTTTAGGGGCACTTGGCTGGCTCAATCAGAGGAGCATGCGACTCTTGATCTTGGGGTCATGAGTTTGAGCCCCAACGTTGAGTGTAGAGATTACTTAAACAAATAAATAAATAAATTTTTTAAATTAAAAAAAAAAAATTCTTAGCTCACTGACAATACAAGAAAAAAATAAAAGTGGTAGGCCAGATTTGGCCTGTGGGTGGAAGTTTGTCAAGTTGTTCATTCCAAAATTATTCAAATTTGCTACATAACACCATGTGAAATGTTTTTATTGTCCTCCATTCCATCTTAATAATCATACCTAACCTTTAAAGCTTTCCTCAAAAGAATCTTTCACAAAAACGTTCAAGGTGTACTTAACCAAATGGGACTTTCCCCTTCTTTTGAAATGCCATAGCATTTGTACCTTCTCTGGTTTTACGAATGACTACTTACTGACCTTTGTCTAATTATTGGCGTGCCAAGATTTCCCCTTAGCATTTCATGGCAGGTACCCTCTGTTTCACATTACACATTTCTTATTGACCATGGTGTCCTGCACATAGTAGAAAGTTAATGATAATGATTGAATTGAAAGATAACTATTCAACATCTTCAATTCCTACATGTAGGCCACAGTGGTTTCATTACAGCTTTTAAGGTTCTATAAATGTTAGAAACATTAAAAGTATTCATAAGTTTTAAGCAGATGAATTTTAGTAATACTAAAATATGAGCACAGATTTTATCTTGGAATTAAGAAGAATGCCCACTATGTTGGCAAAGGAGACAGATGAGAAGGAGCAGGGAACAGAGAGAATTACAGGCCACAGGATCTGTGTGAAAGCCAAATATCTGGCAGGTCCAGCTGTCCACAGGACACAACTTGGTCCCTTACCTGTCCTACTAAAGTTGAGAAAGACATCAAACTTTCCACATGTCTAACGTCCTGGGACCTGATTACTGTGGGACACTCTCCACTCTTCCCATGTCAGATGGAACTATGCTGCATACTCACTCAGGAACCCCTGGGTCAGGAAGTTACTCAGTTTCAGAGAAGAACTCAAAGTAAAGTTAGGGGTTTTCTATGAAATTTTCATATTTTTATCTAAATTTAAATTCCTATTGCACAGATACAATAGACAATCTTTAAAATATGGAACTACTGTGCTTGAATTCAAATCCTAGGAATGCTTCTTATTAGTTGCATAATCCTTGACAAGTTATTTAACCTCTCTGAGACATAATTTTGTCACCTATGAAAAAAGAGATGATGATAATAGAACCTAACTATGGGGATATTGGGCTATTACGGGGAGTAGATGAGTTAATATATGTAAGTGTTTAGAACTGGCACATAGGAAGTACCTACCAATGTTAGCTGTGTGTGTGTGTGTGTGTGTGTGTGTGTGTATACGTATATGTGTGTGTATATATATATATGCATATATAGCTAAGAACAAATAGTATTCCTAGTATTAAATAATCTCTAAAAAGCCACACATACCCTTGCCTTCAGACACATATTGTGTTTTATTTGATTCTTGAAAGAGAATTACCATAAGAAGGAATTTACAGAAAATAGGAAACAAGCTATATAAGGTTTATCAAGTAATTTTTAAAACGCAATAGAAGAAAAACAGCAAGCTGAGTGTACATGTATGATTATGTGATGAAGAGAGAAATAAGAAAATAATTGAATGACTCTGGCATTATCACAATAGTATTTCCCAAGCTTTGGCAGAATGCAATGACCAAAATCAGCTTCCATGCATGGGAACAATGGCAGGTCAACTCAATGGCCATACTTACCACCTTTCTCCACCCTATAGGGACCTGCCTTTTTGTCCTTCACCTTAGCAGTGCTTCCTTCCCAAAGCTTACTTTTATCCTTTTCTTTTTCTTCCTTGGAAACATGTTCCCTGGACTTCTCAGATATGCCCTCTGCAATCACTTGGGTTCCTTTCTCCATTTCTTCTTCAAGAACATTCTCCAAGCATTCCTCTATTGGCAAAGGCTTGGTTTCTACATCTGCTGTCATTATTTCTTGGTCTTCAATTTCAACTTCTTGGGAATCCTCAATTGGAAGGCAGGATTTTCCTGCCTCATCATTTTCACTCGACTCCTGAAAAGATGAACTTCTGGAACTTTTGTTTGGACTGTTCTCAGTGTGGGCTTCCCTATCCCCCAGTGTGGATTCATCTTCACTGCAACTAGAGCATGGGTGACTTCTGGATGAGGACGATGAAGCAGGTTTTATATCTAAAAAAAAAATTATGATATCATTGTTTTTCCATTAAGCAATTGGTTTAATTGTGGGAATTATGTTAGCAACAATCAAACTAAAATTTTTTAATATAGGTTAATAGACTTGATACCCTTTTCACATAGGTTGTGCATAATTATCAAGATAAAAATCTATGTAATCTGTGAGTCTCCAGAAGTTTTCAATAGGAAACCACATCTAACTGAAAACCAACTGTATTTATTTATTTATTTATTTATTTATTTATTTATTTATTTATTTATTGAAAGCCATTTTATTGGAAAACATTTGTAAGTATCTATTTCATTGTAGAAATAACCGATTAATCTTTTATTTATTTAGTAAGAGCACTTATTTCATTATCATCCTTGGTAGCCACAGTATTCTCTGTGCGTAAAATTTAAATTTGTATCTACTGTAACATCCACCATATCCAGCTAGCAAGGTGTACTAGAAAGATCTATGTGTTTGCAAACTACCAAGACACTTTAAAAATATTTTGAGGTGATGCTTCTGTGTGTGTGTGTGTGTGTGTGTGTGTGTGTGTAGGAGGAGATGTTGTCTGATCTCAGGTTCCCCCAAAAGCAGACCTGAAGTCAGGATTCATGAGCAAGTGATGTATCAAGGATGTGCTCCAGGAGAAACTCTTACAGGAATATTAGAATTTTTCCTCCCTTAAGGAAGGAGTTGGGCTTTCATATTCTGCTCCAGTCAGACATGGCTACTGGCCACCCCAGGGGAAAGTAAACTCCTTAGCACTTTCAGGCGCTTTGCACCTGTGGGTGAAGCAGCTCCATGGCCCAGGGCTGTCTGTCCTCTAAAGAAGTATCCTCTGAAGAAGGTAGAGAGTGCAAGAGCTGGGAGACGTGCACATGGAATCAGTAAAAGGGATTCTAGGAGACTGAGGCAGTAATGCTGATGTAATGCAACAGATACACAGTCTAGAAACTAACCGAAGCCCAAAATGTGCTTACTACCCAAAAGCACTTTCAAAAATCTCCAAGAAAGCAACATACACACTGAATCTCTGTAAGGAAGATGCACATCCTGAAAGTCATGGCATATGCTGTGGGCCAGAGAAAGACAAACTTGCTTTTGAGTTTTTAATCAACAGATCTGTGTTAACAATTGTTTTTTTACAGAATATATTTTCAAATGAAATATCCTACACTTAACAGCTTCCTAGGTTTCTTGTTTTCTCTGTGTTCTCCTTACTCTTTTCTCTGTTTCTTTTATTTCTGCTTGGCAGCTACACAGATGGCTCTAGCAGCTGATGCAGACTTTAAGGGAAGAAATACCTGTCTTTACTCTTATCCTTCTCCTTCACACCCTCCAGCCCAAATGGCTCTCCGTGACAGGGCTTAGAATTTTAAGTATAGTCACAGAGACTTATCAGAGTTTCCACAAAGATTTGAGAGATGCTACACAGCGGTAAAAAAACAAACTCTAAAAAGCCTTTAAGCAACACAACCCCTTAAGCACAATTCCATTTGTTCTTATCTCCCAACTACCTTGACAGGCACCAGTTGACCACTGTTTTCCAAGGAAACACATACTTGAACCACTCTTTCTTTATCTCCATTTTATAAAATCTGGATATACCGTCTCTCAGTAGGGAGCACAGCAGATCAAGGACAACTGTTTTCTATCTTATTTGTCCCAATTCAGACACTCTAGGGAGTATGATCTCCCTCTCTCTAAAGCATCTCATTTTTTTTTAAAGGAAAAGAACTCCTATTTGCTAGTTGTTCAATCAGTAGCTTTCATTAACTGCACAATTAGCTAGAAGTCCATATTATACTTGTTCTGCACTTCCGAAAATATTCATGTCTACCATCTTAATATTGATATAATGGCTCTGACTTTTGGCTCTGAGAGTTGTTCACATAATAAAAAAAAAAAAAAAATGAGCGTTCCTCTACTTTTCTTTAGTAGCTACCTTTCTTTAGCTTCTATTAATTGTGTTACTTTAATTCAAAAGGCTGGAACACACTGGCTCATTTTGAGCCAGTCCCGTAGAGAAGAGAGATCAGGAGAATGAATGACCTTCAAGAGGCAAGGGTACCTGACCTCCCATATAAACTCATTTCAGTTTTCCAATTTCTCTCTAACTTTGCCGTACAAGTTAGTTTCTCTCTCATTCCTTTATCTCATTTTCATGCAGACACTGGGGCAAGACTTTGCCTAAAAAAAAAAAAAAAAAAAAAGCTCAAAATGTTTTAGGGCCATGGACTGGGATTTTCAACACTAATTTTATTTATTGTCTTAGAAATGAAGCAAATTTTTATACAGAAATTTTTGCCTAAAAGAATTTTTTACATAAAAGAACTTTGAGGGAACATATGTAATTTTTTTTTGTCATTAGTAGGGAAAAAATTAGCTTGAAGTCATGTTAGTAAGCAACTCAGCCTCCCACCCAATTCTATTTGTCTCTCTGGTGCTTCCTCCAGGTACTGATGCTGGAAGAATCTGCTCTTGGTGTTACGGTAAAGAAATGATCAGCACTCGTTGCCCAAATCTTTGGCCAAAGCCAGCATGTGTGGTACTATGATTCCATATCATAAGCAGGACCTCTCACTTTCCACTCTGCCCATTCAGTCTCCACATCCTTCACTGTCTTCTCTTTTCATGTCATTGATAACTATTCCTTCTTCTGCATCACTACTACTTCACACAACATGAGACTGAGAGAAAATAACATGTCCTCCTGTAAGATAAACCTTGGTGTTTCAATCATGACTCAGCTACTTACTAGCTTTGACTTTGGCTATTCCACTTAACCTCTCTAGGCTTCTGTTTTCTTGCCTATAAAATGGGGTGAATTTTACTTATTTCTCTCTATAAGTCATTGTAGAAATCACATGACACAAAATTAACATAATCAAATTGAATAATGATTTCTTTATGACTTTTAGTCTTTCCCCCTCTATGAAATCATCCATGTTAAGTATAGCTTAATACATTTCTGTCTTGTGATTTCACCCTGTGTTATATGAAGCATAGTAACTGCAGCTACCAATTGCTTAGAAAAAAAAAACACAATAAAACCTGATCATGGTTATGCACCTACTGTGTACCAAAAAATGAGGTAAATACTTAACAAACATCTCACTTAATCCCACGGAATAGCTATCTTCTTTTCTAGATCTAGAAAGTAAGGCCCAGAGAAGTTAAATAATACCCAATGTCCATTAGCTATAAAGTAGCAGGTTTTGCAAAACATTGTTTTTAATGACCCGCTGTAGTAAAGCCAAGACCACTCTTCTTGCCAAAAGGCCTTCAAACAGACAGCATCCACTGTCATGGACCTACTATTGCTTCTCTTAACTAACTCTCTACTGTCAGCACCCTAGAACAAGAAATAAAAAATAGATCTTTCCAAAACATCTGAACTCATGGAATTCAATCTGTCCTCCTTTTATATCTCTAGTGGTCATTCTCCATTTTGGCCACTGTATATATATATATATATATATATATATATATATATATA